CAAGGGCCTGGATTAACTTGGGCCCTCTCTCCAGGTGTTTTGGACTTCAGCTCCCACAACTTGGGTATGGAGATGATCCCTCGATTGACTGAAGTGTCCAGTTCCAAGAGGACAAAGGCATGGGCCAACTTGGGCCCTCCCTCCAGGTATTTTGGACTTCAACTCCCACAACTTGGGTATGGAGATGATCCCTCGATTGACTGATGTGTCCAGTTCCAAGAGGACAAGGGCCTGGATTAACTTGGGCCCTCTCTCCAGGTGTTTTGGACTTCAGCTCCCACAACTTGGGTATGAAGATGATCCCTCAATTGACTGAAGTGTCCAGTTCCAAGAGAACAAAGGCATGGGCCAACTTGGGCCCTCCCTCCAGGGGTTTTGGACTCCAACTCCCACAATGAAGGTTTGCAGATGATCCCTTGATTGACGGATGTGTCCAGTTCCAAGTGGACAAAGGCCTGGACTAACTTGGGCCCTCCCTCCAGGGGTTTTGGACTCCAACTCCCACAATTCCTAACAGCCGGTAGGGTGAGGAATTGTGGGAGTTGATGTCCACAACAGGTAAGAACCGATAAGGATCTTGAGCTCTGAGAATTACCTAGCAAGGAATCCCACTATTTATTTATAGTGTCAGGAGCGAACCAAAACAGTTGTATTGCATTAAAAACAAACAAACAGAACACAACGTTTGCAGAGTGGGTATTCTATTAAATGTCCTTTGACCAGTAGCTGGCCATTTGGAGTGCCTCTGATGTCCTCCATTGTGCATGTGGCAGGGCTCAGGTTGCATTGCAGTAGGTGGCCTGTGGTTTGCTCTTCTCTGCACTCGCATGTTGTGGACTCCACTTTGTAGCCCCATTGGAGCATTGCAGCACACCAAAACACCTGGGAGTTATCCTGGACCGTGTTCTGACTTAGAATAGCTTTAATAATAACTTTATTTGTACCCCGCCACCAAGCCCGAGCAATTGCAATAAAGTAAAATAAAATACACACAAAAACAGACAATAGTAAACAATAACATGGTAATACAATAAAACAGCGACAATAACATAATTAAACAGAGTATAAAATGGTACAAGGATTAATGTGGGTGAGCCGGGCCATATGCAAAAGGTAACAATTATAAATATAATAAAATGAAATATAATACGAAACCTGCTACCAAACAGGAGCTTTTTTGTTGAGTTCCAGGGCCAAAGAAGCAGGTGGCGGAAACAGAAGAACGGCCTGCCTCAGGGGAGCGTGCTTGCTCCATCCTTGTTCAACATCTACACAAATGACCAGCCACTGCCGGAAGGGACAGAGAGTTTCATCTATGCTGACGATTGTGCCATCACCGCCCAAGCAGGGAGCTTTGAAATGATTGAAGAGACACTCTCCGAAGCTCTAGGTACTCTTACTGCCTATTACAGGGAAAACCGGCTGATTCCTAATCCATCTAAAACACCGACATGTACTTTTCGCCTTGCCAACGCCTTAAATCAAGAAATAGCTTCTAAGTTCCAGAATGGAGATTAACTGCATTGAACTGGATTTGATTGCAGTGTAGATCCAGCCTGGGATGCAGCTTCCTTCCAAATACTACCGGTTGAGCTAAGCAGCAAAAACACATGCATTTTGCAGTATGTTCCAGACGCATTAATGTTGCAGCTGCCAAAATTCCCCATTGACAATCCCTGTCTACTCTAGATCTGACTGAGCAAAGGGGCATCATGCCTGATAATACAAGAATAAATAAATAGATCTATAGAAATAAAAATGTAATGTTTGTTTGTGGGATGAACATAACTCAAAAACCGCTGGACGAACTGACACCAAATTTGACAACAAGACAACTCTCAGGCCAACGAGTGACCATCACCCCTAAACACACACACACACACACAAAACCCCAGCGGAATAGACTTAAAAACCCAAAAGATATACCATATACACATACACTCATATACATATAAACATGCACACATTCATACACACACATATTATTAAAGACAAAAACACACAAATATGCACATATACACACAAATACATATACACACACATATACATATACACACACATATATACACACAAATATGCATATAGACAAGCATACACATATACACAATATGCATATACACATATAAACACACAAGTACACAAATATATATACACATATATGTATATATACACACACATAGATATAGATATAGATATATAGATATAAACGCAAACACATACATATACATAAATATATACACACACATAAACACATATGAGTTGCCTAAAGGCTGAGAAAATAATATATACATACACACACAAAACACATATACACAGACTCGGCCAACGAATGGACATAAAAACTCATAAAAACACAGCAGAAGAGACTTAAAAAGGGGGAAAAATAAAAAATACATTACAATGCATGCGCAAAACCACATATGCCAACATATACACAAATATATACACACACAAAACACATATACACAGACTGGGCCACAGCAACGTGTGGCAGGGGACGGCTAGTAAATAAATAAATAAATAATACTGGCACAAGCCAGTCAAGGTGGTCCCAGTGGTGATTGGCACACTGGGTGCAGTGCCTCAAGACCTTGGCCTGCACTTAAACACAATCAGCGCCGACACAATTACCATCTGTCAATGCAAAAGGCCACCCGACTCGGATTTGCACACATTATTCGTCGATACATCACACAGTCCTAGACACTTGGGAAGGGTCCGACGTGTGATCCAATACAACAACCAGTAGAGTGACCTTGTTTGCTGTGTAGTAATCTTGTTGTGTTCCAAATAATAATAATAATAATAAATCAAACTTTCTTTCTATTCCGCCCTATTCAAATCACAGAGGACGAGGAGAATGTGAAGAACCCCCCCCCCCCCCCCCCCCCCCCCCACACACACACACACACACACAAGAAGATGTCTGGTGCTCTTTTGTGCCCTCTGCTGACAGGAAAGCCCAGCCAGCATCCTTCCCAAACGTAGAGAGAAGATGTCCGGAATCCACACAGGTGCATCCAGGGATGCGGAAACTTACCTGCAACTCGTAATGTTTTGAGTCATTTCAAAGGCCATAATAATAATAATAATAATAACAACAACAACAACAACAACAACAACAACTCCTCTAAACAGGAAATGACACTTTGAAACCAGGAACAGAACATTTTTTCAAATTGTGTTATTATTTATTTGTTTGTTTGTTTGTTTACCGTATTTGTATCCTGACTTTCTCAGCCCGAAGGCGACTCAAGGCGGCTTACAAATTGGCAGCAATTTGATGCCACAACAGTCATAAATGTCATTAAAACATATCAAATCTATATAGAAACCATATAAAAAACAATTAAAACATATAATCACTAATGTCTTCTAATTAAACTTATTTTTCAATTAGCATCATCTAAAGCCGTTCCATGTTCACGCTTTCATAGTAGCGTATTTCTCTGTTAGGCTGCATTTCCAAAGAGCCAGGTCTTTACTTTTTTCCGGAAAGTCAGGAAAAACTAGGGAGGGCGTTCGACAGCCGAGGGGCCACCACTGAGATGGCCTTGTCTCTTGTCCCCACCAAACGCGCCTGCAAAGAAGACGGGACCAAGAGCAGGGTCTCCTCAGAAGATCTTAAGCTCCTACCCCCCCCCCCCCCCCCCCCCCCCCCCCCCGTTTAAGGAGCTCCGTTGGCTGCCGTTCATCTTCCGGTCCCAATTCAAGGTGCAGGTTATCACCTATAAAGCCCTAAAAGGTTCAGACCCTGCCTACCTCTATGTTTTATTTTGCTGTACTTGTATTGTATTTTGTTGTAATTTTGGGCTTGGCCACATGTTAGCCGCCCCAAGTCCCCTTTGGGAAGATGGTGGCAGGGTATAAATAAAGATTATTATTATTATTATTATTATTATTATTATTATTATTATTCACCCCGAGTCCCCTTTGGGGAGATGTTGGCTGGGTATAAATAAAGATGATGATGATGATGATGATGATGATGATGATTAGCCGCCCCAAGTCCCCTTTGGGGAGATGGTGGCGGGGTATAAATAAAGATTATTATTATTATTATTATTATTATTAGCCGCCCCGAGTCCCCTTTGGGAAGATGGTGGTAGGGTATAAATAAAGATTATTAATATTATTATTATTATTATTATTATTATTATTTTTATTCACCCCGAGTCCCCTTTGGGGAGATGTTGGCTGGGTATAAATAAAGATTATTATTATTATTATTATTATTATTATTATTATTATTATTCACCCCGAGTCCCCTTTGGGGAGATGGTGGCAGGGTATAAATAAAGATTATTATTATTATTATTATTATTATTATTATTATTATTATTATTAGTATTCACCCCGAGACCCCTTTGGGGAGATGTTGGCTGGGTATAAATAAAGATGATGATGATGATGATGATGATGATGATGATGATGATGATTAGCCGCCCCAAGTCCCCTTTGGGGAGATGGTGGCGGGGTATAAATAAAGATTATTATTATTATTATTATTATTATTATTATTATTATTCACCCCGAGTCCCCTTTGGGGAGATGGTGGCAGGGTATAAATAAAGATTATTATTATTATTATTATTATTATTATTATTATTATTATTATTAGTCGCCCCGTGTCCCCTTTGGGGAGATGGTGGCGGGGTATAAATAAAGATTATTATTATTATTATTATTATTATTATTATTATTATTATTATTAGCCGCCCCGAGTCCCCTTTGGTGAGATGGTAGTGGGGTATAAATAAAGATGATGATGATGATGATGTATGCCATAGACTATCCGGGGGGCGGGGGAATATAAAGAGAGAAATCCAAGCGGCAACGGCGACTCCACTTCCCTATCTGGCAGGGCAATGCTCCCCTTGGCGTCAACTCTCAACACATGAATTCCGGGACCGGAAGGGCAGTGACTTCTCGAGGCGCAGAGAGGGACAGCTGGAACGCGTTCACCAAGGGCAACAGAGCCAGGCTTGGCTGGGACATACCTTAAGATGCAGAAGCAGGTCTTGGCCCCGGAAGATAAGCGGCAGAACCCAAACCTCTGCTTGCTGTCAATGTCTGTCAGCACAAAAGTGAAGTTCTGGCCCACTTGGCCGACCGTGATGCTGCAAAAGGGGAGAAGAAGCGCATCTGTTAGCAGCAGGCACTTCGCATCAACCACGGACAGGATCTTATACACACATTGAAGTCATTGAACTCACAGCTTTTGCCCTCTCCAGAAATTTAAAATTGGGAAATACAAGCAGCGCTCAGAAAACATAATGCATTCTGTGTATTGTCGAAGGATTTCCTGGACGGAATCACTGGGTTGTTGTAGGTTTTTTCGGGCTGTATGGCCATGGTCTAGAGCAGCGTTTCTCAACCTGGGGGTTGGGACCCCTGCGGGGGTCGCGAGGGGATGTCAGAGGGGTCACCGAAGACCATCAGAAAACACAGTATTTTCTGTTGGTCAAGGGGGTTCTGTGTGTCAAGTTTGGCCCAATTCTATCAGTGGAGTTCAGAAAACTCTTTGATTGTACACAAACTATAAATCCCAGCAAATACAAATCCCAAAGGTCAATGTCTATTTTCCCCAAACTCCACCCGTGTTTACATTTTGGCATATAGAGTATTCGCGCCAAGTTTGGTCCAGATCCACCATTGTTTGAGTCCACAGGGCTCTCTGGATGTAGGTGAATTACAACTCCCAAACTCAAGGTCGATGGCCACCAAACCCTGCCAGTATTTTCTCTTGTTCATGGGAGTTATGTGTGCCAAATTTGGTTCAATTCCATCCTTGGTGGAATTCAGGATGCTCTTTAATTGTAGCTGAACTATAAATCCCAGAAACTACAACTCCCAGCAGTATTCAGATTTGGGTGTATTGGATATTTGTGCCCAGATTGATCCAGTGAATGAAAATACACCCTGCATATCAGATATTTACATTATGATTCATAACAATAGCAACACTACAGTTATGAAATAGCAACGAAAATAATTTTATGGTTGGGGGTCACCACCACATGAGAAACTGTATTAAGGGGTCGCGGCATTGGAAAGGTTGGGAAGCACTGGTCTAGAGGCATTCTCTCCTGACGTTTTGCCTGCATCTATGGCAAGCATCCTCAGTACCTGTGAGGGTGCTTGCCATAGATGCAGGCGAAACATCAGGAGAGAATGCCTCTAGACCCGTGATGGTGAACCTTTGACATACATGTCAGCAGTGACACACATAGCTATTTTTGATGACACACAGACACATGCGGCCACATACAGAGAAATACACCTTCTAAGAGCCAATCTAATTGCAAAAGGCTCTTCAAATTTAACATCTGCACCTTTGAGCATTGTTCATTCCATAACTCAGCATGGATTATACATTTTTATTATTTAAACTATAAATATTGCAAAATTATGGGTTTTTTTCTCTCAAAGTGACACTCTACCCAAGTTATGCTCAGGTTTTCGGCAAATTTTGACACATCAAGCTCAAAAGGTTGCCCATCATTGCTCTAGAGCAGTGTTGCTCAACCTGGGGGTCGGGACCCCTGAGGGGGTCGCGAAGGGGTGTCGGAGGGGTCACCAAAGACCATCAGAAAACACATTATTTTCTGATGGTCATGGGGATTTCATGTGGGAAGTTTGACCCAATTCTATCGTTGGTGGAGTTCAGAATGTTCTTTGATTGTAATGAACTATAAATCCCAGCAACTACAACTCCCAAAAGTCAAGGTCTATTCCCCCAGGCTCCACAAGTGTTCACATTTGTGCGTATCGAGTATTTGTGCCAAGTTTGGTCCAGATCCACCATTACGTGAGTCCACAGTGCTCTCTGGATATAGGTGAACTACAACTCCCAAATGTCAAGGTCAATACCCACCAAACCTTTCCAGTGCTTTCCATTGGTCATGGGAGTTCTGTGTGGCAAATTAGGTTCAAATCCATCACTGGTGGAGTTCAGAATGCTCTTTGATTATAAGTGAACTATAAATCCCAGCAACTACAACTCCCAAATGACAAAATCAGTCCTCCCCCAACCCCACTAGCATTTACATGTGGGTGCATTGGGTATTTGTGCCCAGTTTGGGCCAGTGAATGAAAATACATCTTGCATCTCAGGTATCTACATTATGATTCAAAACAGTAGTAAAATGACTGTTATGAAGTAGCAACGAAAACAGTGTTATGGTTGGACATGGGGGACTGGATTAAGGGGTCACGGGATGAGGAAGGTTGAGAACCACTGCCCTAGACCATGGCCATATAGCCCAAAAAAACCCTACAACAACCCATAATGCACTCTTCTTGGAAAGGGTCACTTCACCCCACTGCGATAAACACAGTGCCTTCGACAGCTGGATCAATACCACCTTGAACCTTGTGGTGATTGCTGATATTTGTAACCATCGCAATACTTGATATAGTTGTTTTGTTTTGGTGTCAGGAGCGACTTGAGAAACTGCAAGTCGCTTCTGGTGTGAGAGAATTGGCCGTCTGCAAGGACGTTGCCCAGATGTTTTGATGTTTTACCATCCTTGTGGAAGGCTTCTCTCAAGTCCCCTTGGCATGGGGAGCTGAAGCTGACAGAGGGAGCTCACCCACGCTCTCCCCGGATTCGAACCTGCGACCTGTCGGTCTTCAGTCGTGCCGGCACAAGGGTTTACCCCACTGCATCGCCGGCAACATTATCAGTGTTAGTAATAGGAGCCCAAATAATTTCAGTCCATATTACGAGGCCGAAAAGGATGAATCCTTGCACCTGGGAGGCTTACGGAGTTCTCGCCCAACACTGTTTTAAGGGGCTCTTTTAGGGTTTGTGTATACTCTATTAATGCCAATGTTTAATGTTTCAACCTATAGAAGGCTGAACTGTTTTTCAATCTTATATTTGGGTTGTTGTAGGTTTTTCCGGGCTATATGGCCATCTTCTGGAGGCAATTGCCTCCAGAACATGGCCATATAGCCCGGAAAAACCTACAACAACCCAGTGATTCCGGCCATGAAAGCCTTCGACAATACAATCTTATATTTATATTTCTATCTTGGCTTCTGAATTGTTTCTAATTTGTGTTGTTTTTTGCGTTGAGCTCCATTACAGAAAGGGACAGAGAGTTTCATCTATGCTGACGATTGTGCCATCACCGCTCAAGCAGGGAGCTTTGAAATGGTTGAACAGAAGCTCTCTGAAGCTTTAGGTGCTCTTATCGTTTCCTCTATGCTGAAGGAATCCCACTGGAGCATTGCAGCGCACCCAAATATCTGGGAGTGACCCTGGACCGTGCTCTGACCTACAAGAAGCACTGCCTGAATATCAAGCAAAAAGTGGGCGCTAGAAACAATATCATATGAAAGCTGACTGGCACAACCTGGGGATCACAACCAGACACAGTGGAGACATCTGCCCTTGCGCTTGGCTACTCTGCTGCTGAATACACATGCCCGGTGTGGAACACATCTCACCACGTTAAAACAGTGGATGTGGCTCTTAATGAGACATGTCGCATTATCATGGGGTGCCTGTGCCCTATACCACGGGAGAAATCACACTGTTGAGCCGGTATTGCACCACCTGACATCCGCTGGGAAGTAGCAGCTAATAGTTCCACCTCATGCTTTAAGTTCCACCAAGGAGGTCCTGCTCTCAGTCCCACCAGCCTCGCAAAGGCATCTGGTGGGGATGAGGGACAGGGCCTTCTTGGTGGTGACCCCCTGCTTGTGGAGCGCGCTCCCGGCAAGATGAGATCGACATCCTTCCTCCTTTCCTTTAGGAAAGAACTGAAATCGTGGTTGTGGAACCAGGCCTTTGGCTAGCAGGCATAACGGCACTTTGGACACTGAACTGGACCATATGATTGTTATAATAATGGAAACGGCTATATGATTGTATAACTAATGTTATTGTTTTAATCTGTTGTTGTGTATTTATGGTTTTATGTTGTTGTTACATTGTGATATTGTGGCATCGAATTGTTGCCAGTGTAAGACTGTAGGTTTTATATAGCAATATCAAATGATCACTCACAAGCCGGTTTTGCTTTGAAATGAATATATTGCTTGTGTTAGCCACTCCGAGGCCCCCCTCGGGTGTTGAGAAGGGCGGGGTAGAAAGGTTGTAAATAAATAAATAAATAAGCGATGACCTCGTTCGTTTCTAAGTGTTTGCAGACCACTTCCTTGATGATCTTTTCCAGAATCTTGCCTGGTATCGACGTGAGGCTGACCGGACATTGGTCATTGTTTGGTTCGTCCTTTTTTCCCTTCTTGAAGAAGGATAGGGACCACGTTTGCCCTCCTCCAATCTGCTGGGACTTCTCCCGTTCTCCAAGAACTTTCCAAGATGATGGCCAATGGTTCTGAGATGACTTCTGCTCGTTCCTTCAATACCCTTGGGTGTAATTGATCAAATATTGACTGCAAAACTCTAGCAAAATGTGCTGCGGGGTGTTTAATAAACTTTCCCCATCTTTTTAGGATAGCGCCAATTAGGAAACGACATTTGTAACCCAGGAACAGAAATCATAGTATTACATAGCGTAATAAGGTTCTTTCTAACCGGGGATTTTTGTGAAAGTCCTGATCTCGTTGCCTTGCGCAAAGTGCTCATTTGCCTTTCCTACAAGAATGCAAACAATACCACAATGCTGCTTAAGAATACCGGGGAACGGGGAGAGCTATTGCAGCAAACTCCTCCCAATTTCCTGAAAGCTGCCCCTCTTGTTTCGGCATCGGAGCCGCAAAGGGAGAAGAAAGGCACCAAAAACACCAGAAGAGCAGGGCATAAAGCCTCCCTTCCCAACACTGTAATTAGTAAAGGATATTACCGCGAGCAGCGTGATACCTCTCCTCCTAAATAACAGCTTGCTTTATACCATGTGTGTGCAACCTATTACTTAAAGTATGGATTTCCAGAATGGGGAGCGGGAGGAGAAACCTATACCGTGCATTTTAATTTCTTTGCACGTTGCCAGGTTTTTCTCGCGCACGCAGGCAAATTGCAGGTTTCGGTGACCCCGGGGGGATCCCAAAGGCCCTCCCGCAGAACAATCGGGCTTGGCTTGCAGACAATGCGCCGACGGGGTCCCTCTTCCCAAGGCTAGCATTCATCCTCCGATAAATCCCTTCCTCGTATTTCAGGGGACCGGAGGCTGAGCATATGGCTGCCCTTCGCTCACCAAGAGGCTTTGGGGCTAAAGTGATACTTGAACCAGATGACGGGTCCTCTTCTGAGCCGTTCTTCAACTGCAGCTTTGGGGACATTGGAGGTCCTGCCTATTAACTCAAGGGGACCGTCAAGATGCCTTCCTGGAGATGCATTCCTGACCTCGCCCCCCTCCTTGCCCCCCGTAAAAGCATCATCTTTAATCATCATCTTTAATTACTTATTAATCGCCCTCCATCCAAGATGCTCCAGGCGATTTACATGCACCTTATAGTTGATGATTCCTTTCCAACAGGATGATGCCGAGATGACATCAAAGCAAAGAATCATAGAATAATCATCAATAATCAATCAGACTCATGGACTACGAGGGATCTCCAGATGATGATAGAATCCTAGAATCCTAGAGTTGGAAGAGACCTCCTGGGCCATCATCCAGTCCAACCCCATTCTGCCAAGAAGCAAGAATATTGCATTCAAAGCACCCCCGACAGATGGCCATCCAGCCTCTGTTTAAAAGCTTCCAAAGAAGGAGCCTCCACCACACTCCGGGGCAGAGAGTTCCACTGCTGAACGGCTCTCACAGTCAGGAAGTTCTTCCTCATGTTCAGGTGGAATCGCCTTTCTTGTAGTTTGAAGCCAAGAAGCAGGAATATTGCATCAAAGCACCCCTGACAGATGGCCATCCAGCCTCTGTTTAAAAGCTTCCAAAGAAGGAGCCTCCACCACAATTCGGGGCAGAGAGTTCCACTGCTGAACGGCTCTCACAGTCAGGAAGTTCTTCCTCATGTTCAGATGGAATCTCCTTTCTTGTAGTTTGAAGCCATTGTTCCATTCTGCCAAGAAGCAGGAATATTGCATTCAAAGCACCCCTGACAGATGGCTATCCAGCCTCTGTTTCAAAGCTTCCAAAGAAGGAGCCTCCACCACACTCCCTCTGGGGCAGAGAGTTCCTCTGCTGAACGGCTCTTACAGTCAGGAAGTTCTTCCTCGTGTTCAGGTGGAATCTCCTTTCTTGTAGTTTGAAGCCATTGTTCCAGGAATATTGCATTCAAAGCCCCCCTGACAGATGGCCATCCAGCCTCTGTTTAAAAGCTTCCAAAGAAGGAGCCTCCACCACACTCCGGGGCAGAGAGTTCCACTGCTGAACGGCTCTCACAGTCAGGAAGTTCTTCCTCATGTTCAGGTGGAATCTCCTCTCTTGTAGTTTGAAGCCATTGTTCCATTGCGTCCTAGTCTCCAAGGAAGCAGAAAACAAGCTTGCTCCCTCTTCCCTGTGGCTTCCTCTCACATATTTATACATGGCTCTCATCATATCTCCTCTCAGCCTTCTCTTCTTCAGGCTAAACATGCCCAGCTCCTTAAGCCGCTCCTCATAGGGCTTGTTCTCCAGACCCTTGATCATTTTAGTCGCCCTCCTCTGGACACATTCCAGCTGGTCAATATCTCTCTTGAATTGTGGTGCCCAGAATTGGACACAATATTCCAGGTGTGGTCTAACCAAAGCGGAATAGAGCATGGGGAGCATGACTTCCCTAGATCTGGACACTAGGCTCCTATGGATGCAGGCCAAAATCCCATTGGCTTTTTTTGCCGCCACATCGCATTCCTGGCTCATGTTTAACTTGCTGTCCACAAGGACTCCAAGATCTTTTATGCATGTCCTGCTGTGGAGCCAGGCCTCATCGTCCCCCATTCTGTCTCTTTGCATTTCATTTTTCCTGCCAAAGTGGAGTCTCTTGCATTTGTCTCTGCCTTGGTCCTTTCACTATTGGCTGCTACTTCCCGGCGGATGTCAGGTGGGGCAATACCAGCTAAACAGTGTAAGTTCTCTAGTGGTGTAGGGCGCAGGCACCCCGTGATAATGCGGCATGTCTCATGAAGATCCACATCCACTGTTTTAGTTTTGGTGGTAAATTTGTAAATACTGTGTGCTGAACTGCTTTTTCTGTTGATTTGTTGTCAAACATGATGTTTTAGTGCTTGGTTTGCAAAATCATAAAGTAATTTGATGTTTAATAGGCTTTGCCTTCATCCCTCCTTATGATCCAACATTTTTGCTTCATGCAGGCACATCTATGTTGGATAAGCGAGACTACTGTATCTCAAACATGCAAGCACTGGAGCAAACAGGGATTGGGGGAGAAAGAGAGATTTATATGACTCTAATCCAAATTCGGGACAGAGAACTTCATCTATGCTGACGATCGTGCCATTACCGCTCAAGCAGGGAGCTTTGAGATGGTTGAACAGAAGCTCTCCGAAGCTCTAGGTGCTCTTACTGCCTCTTACAGGGAAAAGCAGCTGATCCCCAACCCATCTAAAACACAGACATGTGCTTTTCATCTCAAAAACAGACAATTACCCCGAGCTCTGAGGATTATTACCTGGGAAGGAAGGAATCCCACTGGAGCATTGCAGCGCACCCAAATACCTGGGAGTCACTCTGGGCCGTGCTCTGACCTACAAGAAGCACTGCCTGAACATTAAGCAAAAAGTGGGCGCTAGAAACAACATCATACAAAAGCTGACTGGCACAACCTGGGGAACACAACCAGACACAGTGAAGACATCTGCCCTTGCGTTGTGCTACTCTGCTGCTGAGTACGCATGCCCAGTGCGGAACACATCTCACCACACTAAAACAGTGGATGTGGCTCTTAATGAGACATGCCGCATTATCACAGGGTGCCTGCACCCTACACCACAGGAGAAATTACATTCTTTAGCCGGTATTGCACCACCTGACATCCGCCAGGAAGTAGCAGCCAATAGTGAAAGGACCAAGGCAGTGACATCTCCAGCTCATCCCCTGTTTGGGTATCAGCCAGCATGCCAACGACTTAAATCAAGAAATGGTTTTCTAAGATCTACAGAGGCACTCGCTGGAACTCCTCAGCAAGCGAGAGTCCAAAAGTGGCAGGCTCAAACCCAGAACCTCAACCCATGGCTGATTCCAAATGAGAGACTCCCCCCTGGGCACACAGAAGAAGACTGGGCGACTTGGAAGACGCTGAACAGACTGCGCTCTGGCACCACGAGATGCAGAGCCAACCTCAAGAAATGGGGCCACAAAGTGGAGCTCGCGACATGCGAGTGTGGAGAAGAGCAAACCACTGACCACCTGCTGCAATGCACCCTGAGCCCTTCTTCCACATGATGCACAAGGGAGGACCTCCTTGCGGCAACACCAGAGGCTCTCCATGGGGCCAGAGACTGGTCAAAGGACATTTAATAGAGTACCAAGCTTGCAAACTCTGTGTCTTTTGTATGTTTGTTTGTTTGTTCTGTCAAAACAGTAATACAACTGTTTGGTTGCCTGACACGATAAATAAAAAATAATCCAAACTCGTGACAGTGGAGAAAGCGTAACTCCACCATTATACAATCGCCGCGACTCACACTTCATTTGCAGGATAGCTTATAAAGAGCGGTGGCTGTAAAGGGTGGGCATTGTTGGCGGCAGGAGTAGAAACTATTAAATCAACAAAACTTTTAACGCCGGCCTTAAAAGCTTCGCTAGGAACAAGACGGGAACGGGTTCGGCTCTGGCCGGTGCGTGGTAAAATTAAAACTTGTTTTGATGGTGCCCGTAAAAGCCCAGAGGAAAAAGGATATTGCCACTATAATTTACACTTGGGTGCTTTAAATCAGGCTCAGGGAGACAGAGCATTGCCAATGGTATGGTTTTTATTTTCTGCAACTGTTTTATTGACAGGGAGTTGTTTGTGTTTCTTTCCCCCCCCCCTCCCCTCCTTGTAAAACCCCGAAAGCCAACCCTACCTGTCCACATAGAAAGGGAAGCAGAACTTGGTCAGCGTCTGTAGAATTTCCTGCGGAGAGAAAGAGAGAGAGAAAGAGAGAGATAATTTATACATCTAATGGGACCAATAAATCCCGCATTAAGCACAGAACACCATCTTGCAACTTTGCCCCGAAGAAACAAAGAGACAGATGAAGAGGAATGGGCTTTATCAATTACTACGGGCGAGGGGAGGAGGGCCCGGCAGTCAATCACGCCAAGGAATAAACATGATGGGACTTCATTAAAAATGAAAAATTAATCAAGGTTCGCGCACGGGCACGCCGGCGGAGCCCTCCAGCGGACCTCCACATGGAAGGAAGCGGGTGGGTGGGGCGGTGGGCCTTAACTCGCCTCTGGGGAGACCCTCCGACCGGGCCATATGGACAACAGCAAGCACCAACAAAGCCAGCTGAGCCGCCTCTTTGGCCTGGCAGCATCCCTCTCCTGGCATATGACAACGTAGTCTGTGCACATTCAGAAGAAGACCTACAACATCGGTTATAGTTCTCTAATATGCCAATGATAATGTAGTCTGTGCACATTCAGAAGAAGACCTACAACATCGGTTATAGTTCTCTAATAAGCCAATGATAATGTAGTCTGTGCACATTCAGAAGAAGATCGACAACATTGGTTATAGTTCTCTAATATGCCGATGATAATGTAGTCTGTGCACATTCAGAAGAAGACCTACAACATCAGTTAAAGTACTCTAATATTCCGATAATAACGTAGTCTGTGCACATTCAGAAGAAGACCTACATCGGTTATAATACTCTAATATTCCGATGATAACCTAGTCTGTGTACATTCAGAAGAAGACCTACAACATCGGTTATAGAACTCTAATATTCCAATGATAATGTAGTCTGTGCACATTCAGAAGAAGACCTACATCGGTTATAGTACTCTAATATTCCGATGATAATGTAGTCTGTGCACATTCAGAAGAAGATCAACAACATTGGTTATACTTCTCTAATATGCCGATGATAATGTAGTCTGTGCACATTCAGAAGAAGATCGACAACATTGGTTATAGTTCTCTAATATGCTGATGATAATGTAGTCTGTGCACATTCAGAAGAAGATCGACAACATTGGTTATAGTTCTCTAATATGCCGATGATAATGTAGTCTGTGCACATTCAGAAGAAGACCTACAACATCAGTTATAGTACTCTAATATTCCGATAATAACGTAGTCTGTGTACATTCAGAAGAAGACCTACAACATCAGTTATAGAACTCTAATATTCCAATGATAATGTAGTCTGTGCACATTCAGAAGAAGACCTACAACATCAGTTATAGTACTCTAATATTCTGATAATAACGTAGTCTGTGTACATTCAGAAGAAGACCTACAACATCGGGTATAGAACTCTAATATTCCGATGATAACCTAGTCTGTGTACATTCAGAAGAAGACCTACAACATCGGTTATAGTACGCTAATATTCCAATGATAATGTAGTCTGTGCACATTCAGTTGTTGTAGAAGACCTACAACAACTCTAATATTCCAATGATAACATAGTCTGGACACATTCAGAAGAAGACCGACAACATCGGTTATAGTACTCTAATATGCCAATTGTAATGTAGTCTGTGCACATTCAGAAGAAGACCTACATCGGTTATAGTACTCTAATATTCCGATGATAACCTAGTCTGTGTACATTCAGAAGAAGACCTACAACATCGGTTATAGAACTCTAATATTCCAATGATAACCTAGTCTGTGTACATTCAGAAGAAGACCTACATCGGTTATAGTACTCTAATATTCCAATGATAACCTAGTCTGTGTACATTCAGAAGAAGACCTACAACATCGGTTATAGAACTCTAATATTCCAATGATAACATAGTCTGGACACATTCAGAAGAAGACCGACAACATCGGTTATAGAACTCTAATATTCCAATGATAATGTAGTCTGTGCACATTCAGAAGAAGACCTACATCGGTTATAGTACTCTAATATTCCAATGATAACCTAGTCTGTGCACATTCAGAAGAAGACCTACAACATCAGTTATAGTTCTCTAATATGCCGATGATAATGTAGTCTGTGCACATTCAGAAGATCTACAACAGTGGTTCTCAACCTGTGGGTGTTTTGGCCTTCAGCTCCCAGAAATCCTCACAGCTGCTAAACTAGCTGGGACCCCAGGTTGAGAACCAGATCTACAACATGTTATAGAGCTCCTGTATGCCGATGATAACATAGTCTGTGTACATTCACAAGAAGATCTACAACATCAGTTATAGTACTCTAATATTCAGAAGAAGACCCACAACATCGGTTATAGTACTATAATATGCCAACGATAATGTAGTCTGTGCACATTCAGAAGAAGACCTACAACATTGGTTATAGTACTCTAATATTCCCATGATAATGTAGTCTGTGCACATTCAGAAGAAGACCTACAACATCAGTTATAGTTCTCTAATATGCCGATGATAATGTAGTCTGTGCACATTCAGAAGACCTACAACATCAGTTATAGTTCTCTAAGATGCCGATGATAATGTAGTCTGTGCACATTCAGAAGATCTACAACAGTGGTTCTCAACCTGTGGGTCCCCGGGTGTTTTGGCCTTCAACTCCCAGAAATCCTCACAGCTGCTAAACTGGCTGGGATTTCTAGGAGTTGTAGGCCAAAAACATATGGGGACCCCAGGTTGAGAACCAGATCTACAACATGTTATAGAGCTCCTGTATGCTGATGATAACATAGTCTGAGCACATTCAGAAGAAGACCTACAACAGGGGTCCACAAACTTTTTAAACAGAGGGCCAGGTCACGGTCCCTCAAACTGTTGGAAGGCCGGATTATAATTTGAAAAACACATGAATGAATTCCTATGCACACTGCACATATCTTATTTGTCGTGCAAAAAACCCACTTAAAAACAATACAATAATTAAAAATGAAGAACAATTTTAACAAATATAAACTAATTAGTATTTCAATGGGAAGTGTGAGCCTGCTTTTGGCTGATGAGATAGGATTGTTGTTGCTGTTGATGTTGTTGTATTCTTTCAGACTTAGGTTGACCCTGAGTGAGGGCCGGGTAAATGGCCTTGGAGGGCCATATCCGGCCCCCGGGCCTTAGTTTGAGGACCCCTGACCTACAACATAGGTTATGTTGTTGTTGTTCATTCGTTCAGTCGTCTTCGACTCTTCGTGACCTCATGGACCAGCCCACGCCAGAGCTCCCTGTCGGCCGTTACCACCCCCATGGGGGTGGTAACATAGGTTATAGTACTCTAATATTCTGATGATAATGTAGTCTGTGCACATTCAGAAGAAGACCCACAATATTGGTTATAGTACTCTAATATGCCGATGATAACGTAGTCTGTGCACATTCAGAAGACCTACAACATCAGTTATAGTACTCTAATATTCCAATGATAACGTAGTCTGTGCTCATTCAGAAGACCTACAACATCGGTTATAGTACCCTAATATGCCTATGATAATGTAGTCTGCGCATATTCAGAAGATCGACATCTGTTATAGAACTCCAGTATGCCGATGACAACGTAGTCTGTGCACATTCAGAAGAATTCATAACAGTAGCAAAATTATAGTTATCAAGTAGAAATGACAATAATGTTATGGTTGGGGGGGTCACCGCAACATGAGGAACTGGATTAAGGGGTCACGGCATTAGGAAGGGTGAGAACTACTGTCCTACCTACTGACATTTCCAGCTATCCGAAGTCCGTAAAGCAGAAGTACATTAAACAAACCTTAGCACACGTGATGAAATTAACGATCGATATACCAAAACGGGCCCTTTTCCAGGCCAGTAATAATAAATGATCTGTGCTTGTCGTCGGGATTGATGCGCCGTGGTTCATTTATTTTTAAAGCCACTTCTCATCCTTTGACAAGTAAACCACATCAATCTCATCAGCCATTCAATGAAGCAGAAAACAGATTGACTCTCCCGGCGAGAACGTGGTCTTCCTCCCCAGTTCAATTGAGCATGCTCCATTCCTTCATGCGCTCCCAAGCCCAATTGCTCCACAGTGCGCACCCTGATTCCTTCTGTTTTAAGGAAGGGGAGCTGGACACGAGCCAAATGCCAGGCTATGGGCCCCACAGAAACAGACAGGCAAGAAAGGGAAGGGATTTATTTTTATTTATCGTGTCATCAGCAACCAGACCATTGTACTACATTTCTAACAGAACAAAACAAACAAACACAGAAAAAAAATCCAAAATTTTGCAAACTTGGTAGTGGATTAGATGTCCTTTGACCAGTCTCTGCCCACTTGGGAGTGCCTCTGGTGATGCCGCAAGAAGGTCCTCCATGGTGCATGTGGCAGGGCTCAGGGGGCATTGCAGCAGGTGGTCTGTGCTTTGCTCTTCTCCACACTCGCATGTCGTGGACTCCACTTCTGAAGGTTGGCTCTGCATCTCATGGTGCCAGAACGCAGTCTGTTCAGCGCCTTCCAAGTCACCCAGATTTCTGTGTGTCTCTCATTTGGTATCAGCCATGGATTGAGGTTCTGGGTTTGAGCCTGCCACTTTTGGACTCTCGCTTGCTGAGGTGTTCCACCGAGTGTCTCTTTAGATCTTAGAAAATTATTTCTTGATTTAAGTCATTGACGTGCTGGCTGATACCCAAACAGGGGATGAGCTGGAGATGTCTCTGCCTTGGTCCTTTCACTACTGGCTGCTCCTTCCCGGCAGACGTCAGGTGGTGCGATACCGGCTAAGCAGTGTAATTTCTCCAGTGGTGTAGGGCGCAGACACCCTGTGATAATGCAGCATGTCTCATTAAGAGCCACATCTACTGTTTTAGTGTGGTGAGATGCGTTCCACACTGGGCATGCGTACTCAGCAGCACAGTAGCATAGTGCATGGGGAGATGTCTTCACTGTGTCTGGTTGTGATCCCCAGGTTGTGCCAGTCAGCTTTCGTATAATGTTGTTTCTAGCGCCCACCTTTTGCTTGATGTTCAGGCAGTGCTTCTTGTAGGTGAGAGCGACTCCTCCC